TTATAAATATAAGACTCGTCCGACTGATTGAAGTAGCTAGGATATCTGCTAAGTATACCCAACCACAGGACTCCTCGGTGATTAATGTTATCGGAAGATGGAATAGGTCGGGTAAGAACCAAGGATGGTCATGCCAACATGTGAAATCATTTCATGAAGAAGTCAGCTGCTGGTCGGAGTCATACGAATAAATGCAAGGTGTCTGACTGGGATCGTCGCAATTTTAAGAATCACAGGTTAGAGACTTTGTGTTACGACAATAGCGCAAACATATTCACTCCTTGACATCTCTAGCATTCTGAACATTAGTGAATTATTCTATCGACCACATGTTTTCGTCCACTTAACATGTTTACTTTTATCATTTTTCTAAACGCGCCTAGCCATTTTTAAAGGTTTTTAGGCCACCAAATAGAATTTACAAGGGAAAGCCTGGACAAAATACAAGATAATTAGTCTCGTCGACAACTACGTTAATTTCGATAGAGAAAGGAAACCAAACGTATGAAACGTTAATATTCGGTTATCTTGCTTGATGATGCGCAGCACGATTTTCAAGGAAACCTTGTCCTGCCCCACAAGACTGATTGGGATAAAAGTAGAATTATAAGTGGTCTTCTCTTTCCACTGTATGAACGAGATACTGCTGACAATCAAGTTATGCTACCTGATCCATGCCGACGTTAAGCTTTAGGGAGCAAGGGGCTTATGTAATGATAGTGACAGATCTTCTGTGCTACAGTATAATAAATGACGTCTAAAAATTAATACAAGTAAAAATAGAGTTAGGAATTATCTCTGTGAAAAAGGAGAGTGGCATTTTTACGTTGTGAAGTAAATTCTGCTTTTGTTGTTTAAACCACATCAGAAGCTTTTTAGTTCATTTTAACTGATTTATTTAGTTGAAGTGTTGTTCATATTATTCAGTTTGTGTTTTGTTTGGTATTTGCCTCGCTTTTTTCACGTATATATATTTGTGAATTTGGTTGGTATTTACCTCGCTTTTTTCACGTATATATATTTGTGAATTTGGTTGGTATTAACCTCACTGTTTTCACGTACATATATTTGTGTTGTTGAAACAAATTAGCGTTATGGGTCCGAATAACAGTTGTGGACGACCGGATTGCCACTTTCCGGTGGATGATGGTATGCAGTGTGACAACTGCAGCCTATGGTTCCACAAGGTTTGCACTGGTCTATCACCAGTAGCCTATAAGAGAGGCTGTGCAAATTTTGCAGTAACCCGTTGGATGTCCTCATCCAAGAGGCAGTGGGACTCCTGATGTCCAAGAAATTGACGAAAAACATAATTGAAAAACCTGTACCAGATATCTTAGCTAAAAATGGCGGTTCAGGACATAATTTTAAAACTGAAGGTGTATCGCCACCTGAAGCTTCAGAGGCAAAAGAGCGCCCAAATATCTGTCGAGGCAAAGCGCAAACGACAAAGGAAATCTAAAAGGGCAAGTAGTGCCAGCATGGCAACACCAGCCTGTGAAATGGCCACTCCAAAGCGCAGCGTGTCTAGTGCACGAATGGCCTCTAGTCGCGGCGAAAACAAAGTGGAAGAAACTGACTCCACTTGGTTGGTGCCGACAGGTAAGAAGCAAAATAAACGTAGGAAAGAAACAGCAACCGAGTTCACCAACAAGGTCTCGACGGCTGTTAATACCAGCCAAACTCAGAAACCCACGGACTCAAGTTACAGTATTATCATGTGGAATTTGGAGGAATCTAAGAACACAGATCCAGCTGCCCGACATATAGATGATCTGAAGGCGGTCAGCTCCATAATCCGGGAAATACTTCCCGAAAAAACAATTGGAGTTCACGTAAGAAAAGCCATCAGGATCGGAAAACGAAACCCTGATGCTACGGAAACTTCTCGACGACTACTTAAGATAGTTTTAGGGAACGAAACAGAGAGAAGCACCATCCTCAACAACGCGTTCAAAATTAACGATGAGAGTTTAAAAATAAGGCCTGATTGGCCTTTAGAAGATAGAATCAAAAGAAGAGAAGCCGTGGCTGAACTTAAGGCCAGGCTAGAGAAAGGTGAAAAAGACCTCAAGCTATTGGGTTTTCGGGTGGTGAAGTCTCGGAAACCGATGCTGCCGAGACCTCTCTTCATAAGCCGGATGAACACGTAGGTGTTTCGGTGTGCTATACGAACGCATGTAGTCTTAGGAATAAGCTCGCCAAATTATGAGAATTATCTGAAAGACTACAACCTGATGTGATTGCTATCACTGAGACATGGTTGTTAGTGGGTGTAAACTTAACTCCACTCACTTGAGGGCGTGGGGTAGTAGAAATAGGTGTCTGGTTGTTAGCGACTTTAATGCTCCACACATTAACTGGGGGGAATTAAACTCCACTAGTTTGTATACCTGTTTCAATAGGGAGTTCACATTGACAGTGCTTGAATGTGCACTCGTGCAACATATGCATGCACCAACACGGTATCACCCGGAACATGATCCATCTACTCTAGACTTGGTATTAGCACACCAGGAGGACGTTGGTGACATTAGGTGCCTTCCGCCGCTTGGCAGCAGTGACCATTGCTTTTACGTTTAAGATTCATTCTCTCATACACAGGTCAAAACCTGCTCGTCCAAACATTTGGAAAGCGGATATACAAGGAATATGGAACGCAGCAACTGCAGTCGACTGGACAGCAGATACAAGTCGGACTGTCGAGAAAGCTTGGGTAGGATTTAAGAATACACTAGATTGTGTCACTTCACCTTTTATACCTTGGTACACTCCTCGAAAGCTATCGCACAAGCCACCTTGGATTACTAGTGAAATAAGGAGGCTATTAGGACGGCGAAAGAACTTATGGGACCAATTTATTATGACAGGAAGGGAAAGTTTCCAGAAAGACTACCGCAAAATTCGAAATCTCTGTAAGTATGCGATTAAGAAGAGTCGTATAGAATACGAGAGACGGCTTGTACTAGATTGTGTTCACTACCCAAAAAGGCTCTCGTATATTAAACGTAGGACTAAAACTAGCAATGGTATACCTTCACTCATAAGCATTAGTGGAGAAGCGGCTGAGTCAGACGAAGGAAAGGCTGAATAATTCTGTGACGTCTTCTCGTCTGACAGTACCACCCAGGAATATGGTGAGGTCACTGCCATCGCCACTCAGATGCCTTCAATTGTGCACACAAAGGTCCTCAAACTACTGTCTAAACTGAAGCCAGGTAAATCACCTGGGCCTGATGGACTTCACTCTAAACTGTTAATTTCCTTGGCGGATATAATATATATTCCGCTTGCGGAGATTTTCCAAATGTCACTGACCCAGGCTGAGCTACCCAGGGACTGGAAGGATGCCATTATAAGCCCTATCTTCAAAGAGGAGGACAGGCAATTGGTATCTAACTACAGGCCGGTAATTCTGACATGCATTATAGCAAAGGTAATGGAAACTATTATAAGGGATCAGCTATTAGCTTATGTTGAAACACATGGCTTACTGGCAGTTGAACAGCATGGATTCCGACCAGGACGATCCTGTTTGACAAACTTACTGTTAGCTAGGGAAGATTGGGTCGAGGCCAGAGATAAAAACCTTCTGTTGGATGTGGTTTTTATTGATCTTAGCAAGGCATTCGACTAAGTATCCCACTTAGGTCTCCTTAGTAAAGGTTTCGGACTAGACCAATGCCTATGTGAGTGGTTTAGGGATTACCTAATGGATAGAAGGCAGAAGGTTAGAGTTAACGGTGTACTATCAGGGTGGAAAGCAGTATCCAGTGGAGTGCCTCAGGGAACTGTATTAGGCTCCTTGCTATTCCTATTATACGTTAATGAGCTACCGGGGATTCTTACTTCATCTTCATTGTTATTTGCAGACGAAATTAAGATATGGAAAACTGTAAATAATAACGAGGGTAGGTCGGCCCTACAAACTGATCTAGATAAATTAGCTGAGTGGTCGAACCTGTGGAGTTTGGAAGTGAATTCTAGGAAAAGCGCGGTAATGCACTTAGGTCAGAAGTTTTATACGTCGTACTCCCTAGGGGACACAGAACTACCTGATGTTAGCGAACAGAAGGACCTAGGAATCATTGTCAGCAATGATTTGAAAACAACTGCAAATTGCAATGCATCCGCAGCTGAGGCTTTTCGAATGCTATGGGCACTTCGATGGGCTTTCAAACTATTAGACGAGGGCATGTTCCAAATACTCTACGCAACATATGTCAGGCCTCATCTAGAATACTGCGTACAAGCGGCGGGTCCATGCTTCAAAATGGAGGCACATATCCTGGAAAGAGTACAGGGAGTAGGAACGAAATTAGTTAGTGGTATCTCACACCTTCCTTATGATAAGAGGATGGAGCATTTAAATCTCTTTCCGTTATCATACCGAAGGAAGAGAGGCGACTTAATTTTAGAATACCATATACTTAAGGGTGATTTAGCAACTGACCTTTCTAAACTTTTCTCCCCTTCTAGGATACATTTACGGGGTCACCGCAAAAAGGTGCTAAAACCGAGGACGTGCAGAATTTAGATTCTCTCACAGAGTGGTCAACGTCTGGAACTCCTTACCTGATTCAGTAGTAAAAGCTCCATCGGTGAACGCTTTCAAAGAGAAGTTAGATCTCTGCAGAGATATATTTTGCAAGGATTAACACAGGCCACAAGAGCCGTCTATCCTTATCAACTGAATCCGTCCTTTATCCCTAAGGTATCCCTGATGACTTTAAAATTATACATAGGCATTAATGTAGCACGGAAAATATGAGCTGTGGACTCCACACTAAAAGCACTAAAACATTAGGTACTATAGTACCTAGGTATACCTACCTGGTATGATGACCTCGGGATTGCAGGAAAGGACTTTAAATCAGCCGCCAAGCAGATTTCGTCGCTGATTGGCTAAAATGGAGGGAGTTGTGTTTTAACGGACTTTTGGACTATATAAATTCCACTTAGGTCACCGTAGAGTGACCTGTAGCGAGTAACTATGGCAAATGGACGTAGCTTTCGAGCTAGCTTGTGAAGCCCTTAGATGCAATGAGGTGCCAGTTGGATGTGCGTTTGTTTACAAAGGAAAAGTAATTGTTACGGGTCGAAATGAAGTATGATTTCTTTTGAGACTTATGTTACATGCAGGTGAATGCAACGAGAGATGCCACTCAGCATGCCGAGATGGTAACAATAAAGCGTTTAGAACAGTGGTGCAAAGAGAATAAAAAGGAGTTTAGCCAAGTATTGGCTGATTGCAAGCTGTATGTTACAGTAGAACCATGTATAATGTGCGCCTCTGCACTGCGTTATTGCCTTCCTACTAACGTGAAAAGGTATGTACATTTATTTTGACTTTTCGCTTGGCTAGTGTCATATATGGAGCCTGTAACGAACGTTTTGGAGGCTGTGGTTCAGTTCTTAACGTTCATAATGCTCCTGGGTCAGTTCCTGCACTGAACTGCATTTCTGGCATTGAAGCCGATAAAGCTATTGTATTGTTGAAAAATTTCTATTCACAAGAAAATGAAAATGCACCAGAAGAACTTCGAAAGCGCAAGTGTGTCTCGAAGATCGACTGACAGACCCGTTAAATTTCTGCATAAATAATTTTTGTAATCCAGTCCTAGTTCTGTAACAAGTTGGTCTCATTCACTTCATCGCCTTATTTTTCTCCATCCTGCTTCAAGTAAAACTTGATTCCGGTTTCGGTGTAAAACATATGTGTAACTGTGTTTACCTTTAAAAGAGGTAATACCTCTAAAGTTATGACAATGTTGAAGCATCACTACAAACGAAGTAGTCATTTGTCTGGTTCATAAGTGGAAAAAAGTGGACATTTAATTCTGGTGTGGTGTTTCATAATTTGATATGAAAAAGTATTCGAGGTGCAATGTTCTAGTGTTAAGTTCTCCATAGCATATAAGTCTATTTTACGTTCCTGTCACCTATGTATGTGGGTATACTCTGAGACCTCAGGCTCAAATTATCTAGGTAGAATGTTTCGTTCCATACATTTCAAAATAAAAAGAGGTATGTCTAGGAAACACAAGTATCCCATACAAAATAATGCAGTCATATGAAACAAAAAGAATGGAGGGATACTGCAATGCAGATCGTCAATGTTCTTCTTTACATTGAGGGAAAAAGGGTTTCATTGCATCCACCCAAAGCAAGCACTTTTTTATTACTTAACTGACCGTCCCCCTCGCTTCCACCTATATACCATTCTGTGATGTACGTGAGCCTAATGCCTATCCCTCTCGATGAATGGGTTTTAGATTTTATTTGTTAGAATTCGAAATAATCCACTTGGGTTTCTTGACTAGTTTAACTAAATAAGTATTATTCGGGTTTGACATAAGTTTCAGCCTTCCCGAAATGTATGTTTTCCTTTACACTACTAAACTAAGACTCAGATGCATGGTATGAAATACCTAGTGAGTTGTGTATAAATGGAATATTTCGGACAGATGTGGAAGGCAAAGGGGGTATTTGAGCAGTATGGTCTCAATGCACTTGAACATACGACTTAACTGTTCAATATGTCTTTAATAACTAATATTTCCGTTCCTGAAAACAGGCGACGATAATCATAGTGAACACGAACAGGTCTTCCGAGATAGAAATATGGTTTCGCAATCTTCGATTTACGTCTGTATGGTATTTTATATCGTTCCGATGAGCCTGAAATAAACCAAACTATTTTCATATATTCAGGAGTAATTCTCTTCAGTGTTGCTTACAGACAACCTGTTTTTCCACACGTCAGGGATGATATCGTAGTTAGAAAACCTTCATCTAACCGGGAGGTAGAGCACACTTTCCAGTATTCACCCCTCCTAACAATATTCATGAGGCTTTATATAACCAGTCCCGAGCACTTTAAACCCGTGACTTCTTATAATAATGTTTGCCGGAAATAAATGAAAAGGTATGGCTTACTTGTATAAAGACAGGAAAGACTTCATGTAAAGACTGATTGCTGAACAAAGAATATTCTTTGCGATAACTTCTTCATCAGGTTCTACAGTTATATATCCATAATAATGGGAGAATTGGGGTTATTAACAACATTAGTGTTTAAATAACATCGATTCAATAATATCAATAGATTACAGTTCAATAGCCTCTGTAAGCGTGATAATATGCGTCGACATAATACTACACTGAATATAATACATATTAGGAAAAATAATACAGAATCCATGAATTTATAGGCTTGACAGAAGGCCAGGGCAGTAGTAATGGTCCGACCTGTTTCTTATGCACACAGGACACCGGTTGTTTCAGGCGGATCACAATAGCCTCTGCTGTTTGGAATCTTCGGTACCTGGACGCTTTCGGCAATTTGGTACCCGATAGATAATGGAGAAGGATTCTTCAATGCTAGCTTTGTGGCCGGTTTGCACCAGGTGGTGTAATAATGAGCTGCTGATGCTTTTCACTATACCTTTATTTAGCCGCACCGGTAGGTGTTCCTTCTCACGAAAGATCAAGTTCCAATACAACTCGCTCCACAAGTGCAGTTGAATTGGGCGATACAATTAGGTACTTCATCTTTCAATTGAGGAATCACAACCGGTCATGTAGAAAATATGACTTGTAGTTTACCAGCATTAAAAGTTCTCTAAATAGATTTTCTTAACTTGTTAGTAATTATTTCAATTGGTGCATCACCCTTGAACTGCAGTCGTATATATAAAGGCTTCTTATTTACAGATAGACAATAGCCCTTTTCTACTTTTTTGCTCATGTGTTTCCTGGTGAATTTTTCTGGATAGCTATTTTCAGTCATATACAATCAAGTTACTTAAACACTTGTGAATCAGACAAACAGTAAACTTTGGAACAGGCAAAGTGGATGGAACAGGTGAACAATAATCGCTGATAAAAGAACCTCATATTGAATAAATACTGGAAAGTAGAGTAGGTGTTCAATAAAGTCTAGTATTCATTGAAATCATAACTTAAACTATATATTTAACTTATGACATGCAATTCTATACTCTGATCCTTCAATTAAGTATTTGCTCATAAACGTTTCATATTATTTGCATTTATACCTATATAACTGCATGTAGTGTATTTTCCTTATCTGATATGTTTCTATACTCAAGTTAAAAAAGAAATGGATTTTTCTGAGGCATTACGTGATTAAATAGGAGTCACAGCTCGTTTGTTCAAACATCCGCTCATCTAATTTTCACAGTAAACTATCACTAGCCCTTACATAATATGTGCGTCGTTGGCACAGTGGTTAGGACTCTCGCCGACCATACACATGGTCCGGGGTTCGATCCCCTGCCGATGCACACCCGATATCTATGGTCGGCCTGCAAAATTTGGGCTACCGATATCCATGCTGAAAATTCCATACTTGTACTGAAAATACGGTGTGGCATCAAGCTGTAAACAAAATTATATATATATAATTGTATATGTGTGGTGGTAGTCAATGGTAGAACGCTTCCCAACCACATAGGAGAAGTGGTTTCGATCCCCTGGCAGCACACTATCTAACTTTGCTTAGTAAGGCCGGAAAAGAAGGAAGGTTGAGCATGAGGCTAACAAGCCGACTCTGTCACCACTACTAAAACTTGGAAGCTTGGAGCTAAATATTCCACTCTTAACGAAAAGAAATTATGTGGTCATTCAGGTAGATTGAAGGTTATGTGGGTGGAGTTATCAGTAGAACTGATAACGTTGTTTAACACTAATAGTCAGAAAACAATTAAGATAATACTTTTTTCCAACGGACTTTACGATTATGCAACAAAATTATTGAACATAGACATTTCGTAACAATGTAGTTAATACATTTAAAGTTCAGACATGTGAATTAGTGGATACTAATCAAGATGATCATCATAATTGTAACAACAATAAATTCATACAATTGTTAATGTAATCTAAGCAGCCAATCGTTGTGAATGTTCGTCTTTGTGGGAGAACAGCGGGAAAATAACTATTGTCTCATTCCTATTTGAAAACAGAGTATTCAATTTCATCACAAGGTGTAAGACAGTTTGATAGTTAAGTGGTGTCTTTGGGATTGGAAACTATTTTTGTCGCATTAAGGCTGTAGGTAAAGCCCATGGCAAGGGGAAACAACTGTGGAAATCTTTTCTATGGACACACATTAGGTTGAAAAAAATTTAGTGGCAACTGTCTCAATCATCCTTATCAGTTGGTGTATAAACCTACAAAATCGAGGTGGCACCTTGTAATAGACGGTGGGAGCTTCGCTTTTTTCAGTCTTGAGCTCTGTATTCACTAGACGCACCAGCCCAGAACTACTGATGATGGACCTTATTATCCCCTTTTCTAACCACTTCGGGCAATGCTCGTAATCAGGGGCAGTTGGGTTAACAAACATATTAATGTAATCCACTCAATTCCGATAGACCTCGTCAAATCAGGCAACTTAGAAACAACTCAGTCATTGTTATGCATGAGCTAGCATGTGGTTCGGGGTTCAGTCCTCGGCCGACGCACTCCTTCACCTCTCTAAGCCAGTATTGAGACTGGTAAAGAGGGGGGGGTTGGGCATGAGGCTGGCAACCCCATCCCGTAAAAATAAACACCACTGCTACCGAAACTTCAAAGCTCTAGCTTGAAGCCCTATGTTCCACGTAAAAAGATAGCCTATGATAACAACGAGGTTGATCACTGAATCTTTCTCCATCAAATCATCACCCAAGATGTGTAATAGGGATGGGACAACGCTAATCCCTGGTATATACAGAACTTTACTAAACAGGAAGGAGTACAATTACATAAAGTTCTGATATAGTGTGTGAGCTAAAAACTGTGCTTGGAAATTCATCCAGCTATTAATACTGTATTGTAATGACAGAAGATAAGAGAATTCGGTAACGGAATTATTTATTTGCAGCTCGACACACATATACGCAAAAAACGTCTACCATACATTAGAATCACAATTTGCATATATCATCGATGTTGTTCTTTGTCTTCCCGTCATGTTTTCCATGTTGTTTCTCAAGCATCGTTCATTAAAGCCATCTCTACGCCATTCGGTATGCTGATATACATATTTACATCTGCATCTATATGGCAGTAGCTCATGTCACAGTATTACTTCGTGTCACATCCAATAAGCTTATCTAGATTGATGCTTATAGCCTAGATATTCGAACTGGTGGTTTTCTCGTTTAAAAGGTCTGTATTTCGTAGCAGTTGATTCGAATCTTTCCTTAAGTAAGCATCTATTTTGACTTAAGCCATTCTATCTTTAGACACTTATTCTCAGATGGTCAAGATATTCTCCCGCCGGAACAGAATTCACCAGTGCGTGAATAATATACCACCTCTGTTTGTGCCTGCTCTTTCACGTGCCGTTGTGGACGGTATAAGCGAGTCTTCCAGATTCGCATAGCTGAACATTATCAGTTACATCGATGAAAACTGAATACAGAACAACGAAATCTTGTTTTTGTGAACATATTGAGTCAGGTCACTTGACCTCGTGTGATTTATCTTTTGAAGTGCTCTACAGAGCTGAATTCAACATTCTATAAGTCTACGTTTTCATCACTTATGTATATCTGAAGCACTAGCCAAACACGAAAGAAAAAACGCAAACAGTGTATTCAAAATATCTTTGCTAAGCCTCTTTCATTTCCTTGGTCCTAATGATTTTATGGTTAACTTCAACCTACTTCCACTTATCTTCTCTTTCATTATCATATTCTTAATTCCATTTTGCTTTTGACAGCAGTTGACCCACTT